TGATCTGCCATCTCCAAGATGACATTGTATATCGAATGGATCGCTCTGGAACTACATGCGACCAATATGCATCCAGTAAGCCACTGCGTATATGTGTTGGCAGATATTCATTTAAATTACAGCCGTCGACTGGGTCGTATAATCCACGTGGTCAAGTTTTAGGATTAGGGTGACGTGCATGAATGCTACCGCGACAGCCGCGAATCCATTGCGGGCACCGTTCACGACATGTCTGCGCCCGCCGGTACTTGGGTGGATATGATGAAGTTCTCCATCATGGCCTGGCCTCCGCCCCCATGTTTCGTCGCATGGCTTCCGCCCGTACCCGACGTCCTGCCGCGTCCCGCAGGTTGGGGGCCGGCGCCGATGTTACCTTCGCGGCGCTTGACGACGAGGCACAGCACGCGCCCATAAATAGAAAATCCCTCGTACGAGATGTCCATAGCCAGTTTTTTCTTATCGTCGTCGTCTTCGGCATTGTCACCATCCGGCGCTGCTACCCCCCCTCTGCGTCTCTTGGCTGGTGGCGGCCGCGTGCTAGCGTCGTCATTTGGCTCATCATTGACGAATAGGCCGTCATCCTCACCGTCTTGGCTATCAGATACAATCTCCACATCGTTGCTTTGCTGATCATCTACGTCGCGATCTGCGTCTGTTTCTGTTTCTGCTTCTGCTTCTGTATTCCTACGGCCGCGCTTGGGTCGCCTGCCGCTGCTAGTACCCGTCGTGGTTTCGTCTACCGCTGGAATCGCGGCCAAGGTAACAGCGGCATCTCCATCGTCGCTCTCCTCATGCCTAATGAGTGGACCAAGTTCTGTTGTAGCATCGACGTCGACAGGTACTTCGTTCGTCTCACCAATCAGACGACCCGAGTTTGATGTAAGCTTTGTTTGCGTAGTATCATGGAAATGCTTATGTTTTGTGAGGAGCGCGTGGCGGGTAGCTGTCTCGGTGAGGAATATGGATACCTCGAAATCATCTGTAATGTGTTACAAACTGCGGGAACGTAGTAGATCTTTAGAGTATGCGACTCACCTTCGATCACTATATCCTTGATCCCCTTCTTTTTAGTACTTCGCTTTCGACTTCGTTCTCGCTCCTCGCGTAACTTAGGCAATACAAGCGGCCGCACGCTCTCGATTACTCTTGGCAGTACGGGGCTTCTCGGGTTAAGGAGCCAAGTATGGACGAGTGCAGGATTATCAAGGTATATGCGGCATTCGAGGACCGAGTATTTGGTTATGCGGAGATAACGGCGAATGGGCGCCATGGCGGGATGGATCGTAACGCATTTCGCGATACGAAGTCATGCCTTGGGAGGATTATTACCTACTAAAACATAGCGAATTGTAAGACGGAATTGTAAGACGGAATGGTTATGAGATCACTCTCTTTATCGATAATAATCCAGGTACGGATCTTGGTGACTTTGCATAATGTGGCTGAGGCTCAACTATGGAATTTACATGATTTTAATTGGATCCATAAAGTTGTCCAGCCTTGCTTGAAGAATTATGTAGTGGCTCAAGTTGTTATCGATATCGATAAGGTGTTCGGTCTTAGCTAACAGGCTAACCAAATAAATAATTCTTGTGAAAGTTCCTAAGAAACAGTAACTAAATGCATTAAATTTTATGATACGATATGCTCATGTGTTGTTAACATATTACTCTTAGTTTTTAAAACTAAGACAATGAACTTGATATTATCATGCAGAAATCATGGTCTACAACCCTGAGATTGCCGAACTCTAAGTTCCCGTATGTTCTCATGTTAATTGTCCTGGAATTCTCATGCTCGAGCTGACCGTGGGCCAGTCCGAGACCTCTCCCTAGATTACGGGAGTTGTATATTCAACGATGCGCCGATGATTTATATGAATGGCAGAAGCTCAATCGCCCTTCTGATAACACTTTTGTAATTCATGATGGCCCCCCTTATGCCAATGGTGATCTCCATGTTGGCCACGCCTTAAATAAGATCCTCAAGGACATGATTCTAAGGGTCAAAATACAACAAGGTCAGCAAGAGGATGGACATAACGTGTACCATGATTTTAAGTAATGTGGAACTTAACTTAGGGTATATATAGGCCGAAGAGTGGAATATACTCCAGGATGGGATTGCCATGGACTCCCTATCGAGCTGAAAGCCCTCGAGAGATCTCAGGGGTCGGAGCTCGGGCCCGTCCAAGTTCGGAAGTCTGCTCGGAATCTAGCATCTAATACGGTTCTGAAGCAAATGAAGAGCTTTAGATCCTACGGGGTTATGGGTGATTGGGACCAAAGATGGACTACGATGGATGCGACGTTCGAGATCCGGCAGCTCCGCCTATTCCAGCAGATGGTTAAGAAGGGCTTGATTTACCGCAAATTCAAGCCAGTCTACTGGTCGCCCTCTTCAGGGACTGCCCTTGCCGAGGCAGAGTTAGAGTATCGCGACGACCATATTTCGCACGCGGCTTGGGTTAGATTCCCCATAACGGAAGACTGGAAGAAGCTTTCGCAATTCGAAAGTGTGCGAGACAACGTTCCGGGACAGCTGTACGCCGTAATATGGACCACTACCCCATGGACATTACCCGCAAACAGAGCTATCGCCGTAGAGAATAAACTAGAATATTGTATTGTTCGCTATGGGAATGATGCTCTGCTGGTCGCTAAGAGTCGTCTTGATACTCTTGCGTCTAAGATTGGCGCCGAGGATATCGAAGTCCTTGAGACATTCGAAGGTGCGCAATTAACGGCCTTAAAATATACCAATCGGCTTCGTGGAAAATACGCTCCTCTTCAACCTCTTATACACGCAGATTTTGTATCAGCAGACTCGGGATCGGGACTGGTACATCTTGCACCTGGTCACGGGTTCGACGATTACGAGGTCTGTCGGAAGCTCGATATAGAAGTGGCAGCTCCCATTGACGACCAAGGAAGGTTTACTTCAGATGCTTTCCCTGACTCTCCTGAACTACTCACGTCTGCCCCTTCTGTAAACGAGGGCGGGGGCCGAAACGTTCTCGATCTTCTTAAGCCTCACGGGGACGTTTTGCGGGTAGAAAGGCACCAACATAAGTATCCGTATGACTGGAGGACGAAGAAACCAGTGGTTATTCGGGCTACCGAGCAATGGTTTGCCGACGTTGGATCAATTAAACAAGAAGCCCTTGCAGCTCTGAATGATGTTCGATTTATCCCAGAGTCTGGTAGAAAGCGTCTTGAGAGCTTTGTTCAAGGTCGAAGTGAGTGGTGTATATCACGACAGCGAGCTTGGGGTGTTCCGATCCCGTCTTTGTATGATGAAACGGGCTCGGCTGTGATGAATGAAGAAGTGGTCGAACACATTATATCAGTTATTCATCAACGAGGAACACAGGCTTGGTGGTCAGATGCCCCTGACGACGAAGTTTGGATCCCGTCCTCTCTAAAGGGGAAAGGGAAATACCGACGAGGGACTGATACTATGGACGTCTGGTTTGATAGCGGAAGTAGTTGGACCATGATGCCGGGTCGCGCAGATGTTTATCTCGAAGGGTCTGACCAGCATCGTGGCTGGTTCCAGTCTAGTCTCCTGACACGAATTGCCGCAGGAACCCAGGTAGACACCAACTTTGAGAAAGGTGCCCCTTTTAAACAGTTAATCACTCATGGATTTACGCTGGACCAGGCTGGCAAGAAGATGTCCAAGTCGCTAGGGAATATCATTGAGCCCCAACAGGTGATGGATGGTACCCTCCTGCCGCCAATCAAGCGGAAAAAGGGAAACACGGCACCCCAAGGGCAACCCGCCTACGACGCTATGGGTCCTGATGCTTTAAGATTGTGGGTTGCGAGTAGTGACTATACGCATGATGTTGTTATCGGAGCACCCGTGCTAAGTACCATCCATACTGCGCTGATCAAGTACCGTACCATCGTAAAGATGCTCCTCGGCTCCGCGCACAAATCTGCTCGAACGGCACCTCTAACCGCAACAGATCACATTGCCATCCTGCGACTACAAGACACGATGCAAGAGGTGGGCAAGGCGTTTGACAATTACGAATTTTATAAGGGATTCGCCGCCTTGAACAAGTGGGTAACAAACGATCTCTCCGCTTTCTATCTCGAATCTCTGAAAGACCGGCTATATTGTGGTGACGGCGGAGGCGTTATTGAGCCTTTGCTCACCGGACTTCTGAGGATGCTGACACCGGTGACACCTCTGCTCGTTGAAGAAGCGTGGGATCACCGCCCAGACTGGATGAAGGAAGACTCGTAAGTCCGGCCAGATTCCTCGCGTTCGCACTATGCTAACAGTAAAATATACAGGTCTTTGACTCATCCGTTCCACCAACTCTATAGCAGTCCCGTTATTGAACCTAGTCGCCTCACCCGCGATTTAACTACTCTGCGAAAAGATATCCCGGTGCTTATGTCGGTCCATACCGCCGTTAAGTCGACCCTCGAAGCTGCCAGGAGCGACAAGCTCTTGGGCTCGTCTCTGCAGAGCAATGTTTTCATTGAGGTTTCCGATATCCGGGTACAGAAGGTGTTGGAATCATACGCAGACGAACTGGAGAGTATGTTCGTTGTTTCCTCGGTCGAAATTAATACAACGCCTCCGCCCCCGGTAGAAACGGCGTGGACCTATAACCGGCAGTTCGAGGTGGGTGGGATTAAGGGGGCGGTGGTGGTAATGCCCCCAAAACACGCCAAGTGTCCTCGATGCTGGCGGTACGTTTCGCCAAAAGAGGATAGCCTATGCGGGCGGTGTGAGGATGTGGTAGCGGGTTAGTATACTGTAAAATAACTGTACACCATCAATTGTGAACAATAGAGACATATCTCAAGTGTAGCTTGCCCTATAGGCTTCATTCCCTAGCTGTGTAACCCTTGGATGATATTGTGGTTTTTATCATCGGACGTAGCTTCAGATTATCCTAGGGAAAACTTTCTATTTTCATGTCTTTAATTAATAGTAGATACGCTTTGGACTTATAGTCCGTTACATTCATATTTTTAGGTATGGTCTTAGAAACATAAAGCATGCTTTCTATTCTTCCTGGAAACCCGACTGACTAGCCCGAGTCTCACAAGTTGTAGAGGTGAATACTGCAATGAGGTTAGCATAAAGAACGAAAGAGGAGAATGAACTGTGCTATATAAACTTACAATTTACAAAACAAGCGACTATTGTATCTCCGTCGTTCTCGAGCCCTTTCGCTCCCAACAGGATGCCTCCCGGCTCGAATACGTCTTTCTGGCCCAGCTGGCGACAAAGCAGCTCCCAGTCCAAGTCTTTCTCTATGTCGAAAGGCTCATGGTTTTCAACTGTGAACTTTTGCTTTACCGTGGATGGATAGCCCTCGTCGATATCGAACAGCGACGGGATTAGTTTGCCGCTTAATAGATTCTCCTTCCACCATTCGGGCGGAAGCACGCGCGTGCAGGTGAGTTGCTCACGACTGAGGTTGTAGAATGGCTCTAATTCCGCCGTGATCATAGCGTTAATCTCTATGGGCAGAGCTTTTGTTATCTTGTGCCGCATAGCTTGATATGCTGGGTCGGGTACGATAGCGTTTTTGTCAAGGCGTACCAAGTGCTTTAGAATGGTTGGTGTCGCCATCGTATGGGCTGAGGGATCAGCTTGTTGAATGGGTATTTTTGGCCTGTAATAGCCGAGGCAAATGTTATACACATCTAGACGGGCCGTGAACATATCATTACGGTAGCGTCTTTGCTCATTAATGGGGGGGGGGGGGGGGGGGGGGGACCCCAAAAACCCCCGGGTTGGTCCACAGGGCGCGCGGAATCAAAATTGCTTATAAATTACCGATGCGAGGG